GATGGGGGTTGTGAGCAGCAGCTACACATTTTCTAACTGGATTTAAAGGTGCGTCTGCCAAAGCTGGGCAGGCTGTGGTGATGGGGGGTGTTAGTGCGAAGGCACGCAAGCGTGGGGAGTGCGCGTGCTTGTGCAACCTGGAGGATGCATGGCTGCATATTGGGGGCTTTGGTTCTTTTTTTTTAAATTTCATTTATGGCATTGAGTTTTTGTGTCTTAATAAACATGCCACACCCATCCCACCCCCCATACCCCCCTCCAGCAACAAAGCTGTAAATCATAACCTGGCTCAGGCCAGGGCTGCCATGGGTGAGTGTGGGTTAATGACCTGCAGCCGGTCACGAGGTGAGTGAGTCAGGGCACTGAAACTGTTCATGGGCCTTTTTGTTAAAAGAATAAAAGCTCAGAATTGCACAACCCTGCGACTAACAAGTTGGGGGGGTACGACACACACAGAGAGGTGTGGGGGTGTTCAGAAGAGAAGGGTGTTGCTGGAGGAGCTAACTTCAGTGCACTTTAGTGTGGGAGCATCGCTGCCCCGTGGGAGCAGGGCAGTCCTGGGGTGCCAGAACTGGGGGTTCGGGTAGGCTGTGCTCCCAGGCTGCCACGGCTTTGGGGTCTGCTCAGCCTTTGCCCTCCCCTTGCTGACTCTTCTGGTGACACCCAGCTGCGGGACAGCTGGAGCAAACTTCCCTGGGGCTCTCTCCCCAAGAGCCGACCAGAGACACCCATGTGCCAGCGGGACGCTCTGATGTGGGCTGTCCCCCAAGGGCGTTCCCTGCCTGCAGTGAGGGGGCTGCCCAATGGCTCGATGGCCTTGCCCCGGCTCAGGGCCACCCCGGGGGTGTGGGGCGCTGCGGCTGTAGGGGTGGTGTGGGGAGAAAGGGAGGGGACTTTGGATTTTGGCAGGGTGATCTTCCAGCAAACCCCAGGGGCACTGCGGGGCCGAGGAGTGGGTAGATTTGGGTCAGGATGGCCCCCCCGGCGCAGCCAAGGTGCCCAGCGCGAGGCCTTCCCCGAGCAGGGTCCGAGGCCACTCACTCTGCCAGGACACAGGGAGTCCACGTTGCTGGAAATGCTCAAGCCCTGGCAAGACATTTCACAGGTACACAGAGACTTTGTTTCATATTTTATTGAATTTCATTTATATTAAATTAAAAATATATTTCTGACAGATTCATGTAACAAAAAGGCAGAACAGTTTTCAAATTGTTCAGCTGGGATGAGCGTGGGTTGATGCAAGGTGGGTCGCAGTCTACATTTGCCTTAACAAACAGATAAAGCTCTACCCCAAGGGCCATGAGGAGAAACTCGGGACTGCACACGGGGCGGGGGAAAATATAACCACACAAAGAGAAGATCCACAGGTTTCTCCCCAGCCTCCAAACAAGACAAAAGGGGAGGGAAGGAAAAAAAGAAAAAACAAGAAACCATGAAAAGAAGGGAAATTATGCTAAAATATGTACCTAATATTAACCCAGGTCAGTAAGTATTTTAACAGTGCATAATCCTCGATAGCTAAAATATGAGAAACGAAAGGTTAAAGTAACATTACGCCACACACAATTGGCATACCCTACTGTGTAAGCAAGTGCAGAAAGTCTGAACACACCACGATAGTGCTAAAACACAGAATCACACAGAATGCCAAAAATGGTACTTCTAACCAAAACCAGAGGGTGGGAAGGGAGAGAAAGAAAAGGGGAGGAGCGGCTTAAATCACAAGCAAATTACCTATATACAAATCAACCCTAAGGACAATTATGTTCCAAATAATGGTGTCCACAAGGAAAATAAAAGCAACATTATCCTTATTTACAAATGCAACTAGCTGTGTCTTTAACAAGCTATAAAAATACTATTCACATTTTCAAAGTAACATACAGTAGTTTTTGTATTTTTTTTATTTTTGTTTCAGAAAGGCAGCTAACTCTGAATGCATCCCTTTGCAAGAAATGAGTGTCTTCCCCAACGTGCTGATGCTTCTCTTCTTCTGAAGGTACTTCATAAGGCGGAAGTATTGTTGTTTTGCCTCTTTGCACTTTGAGAACAGGGAGAATTGGCTAAAACCCAGGCCCTCCCCATCGCTGCCTCCCACCCACCTCCTGGTAGGCGCCGGGGCTGGTTCCTCTGGGACGGGCTGGCTGCAGTGAGTGCGGCCCATGGAGGCAGCTGCCCCCCGCACCGCAAGCGGGGCGTCTCGCAGGAGCTCGGTGCTATTCCTGCGTCACCTCCCAAATGGGGCTCGGCCCTTGATTTTGAAGGGACAGTAATGTCATCCTCCGGGCCTGGGAATTTGAGCCTCATCAGAAAAGAGAAAGTCGACAGTTCAAGACCGCCAGGTCAGGAAATACATTTTGGATATCTCTGTTTTCAGAAAGAGACTGCTTTTTCCCCTCCCTACACTGAGGCTGCTACCTCTTTAGAAAGTCCAGCTTACAATGTTGGAGAAATAGCAAAAACTGGGCAAAAAAAAGGGTTAAAACCATAGTGAATAATGTATCGAATATGTACCAATCTCCAACATTAAAATGCCATAAAAAATTATGTTTTCATGGACCTGCATTTTCCTCTTAACATACCCCACCATAAAAAGACACGTACCCAGCAACTACCTTCAGTCCCTGTCTTCAAAGAAACAGTGGTTTAGTGCATTCAAAGTTAGCTACCCCTTACACAGCTGCTCAGTTAATAATCGACCCATTTAACAGCAGTACCAGTTTATGCTACATATGTCATAGTACCTTACCTCAAAAGAACGGCATACATATCTACACTTACTTATAAAATACCATTCACAGTTTATTACTGTGGTTATCCCAAAAGGGTTTAGTCTTCGGAGTGCTATGGACAATACAGTGTTTTCTCCCTAAGAGGGCTCAAAGGTTGGGCAGGGCATGGGGACGGTTGCGCTGCGGGGACCAAACTGCTGGCAAACAGCACTCACGGCCAGCGCACGGCAGCAACAGCCGATGGCTCGATGTACGCGTGCGCCCCGGTCACACCCAAACCATCAGCGAGAGGGTGCTGTGCGGGATGCACCTTTGCCCCGGTGCTTTCATCCACAACACGTCTGGAGCATGATTTCATGGCTTTTTTATTGAGGAGGGGAGAAGAACTGGGACATAATTACTCATGCTGCGTAACACCTTACAAATCTCCCCTTAAAATCCCTCTCTACCAAAGACCACAAAGCTCTTACTCAAAACTAAATAATAAAAAGGGAAAAAAAAGCAGCTCTGACTCCTCTTGTTTCCTCATTGGGATAACGTCCTTAGGTTTTCCCCTCGCACCTTTTCCTGGCTTGTCGGCACAGACCCCAGCTGGAGGATGCCTTGGGTGGAAGCACCTCTTCAGTCTGGCTCTGGTTAGGAGACGCGCTTGGCTGCAGTTCAAGCAAGTCCCACCGAGTCCCACCACCATCAGTCAGACCTGAACACCCATAAGCTTCCCCTGAAAGGTGCTCTGCATCGTCCAAACCTACAGGCAGATCCCAGCCATCACTGCAGTACCACTGACGACAGCCTTACCTGTCCATAACTTCCCCAAGAGCAATGAGCCTACCAGCATGACAACATACAAATCCATGCAACGGTACAGGAATATGACCTTGTACTGAAATAAAATAAAAACAAAGGTGGAGACGTGATTTTTGGACATTTTAGAGTGGTGCTTCTAAGCACCGAGCTTTATTTCTGTTATTTATTCCCAATTTGAAAGCCCCATTGTAACAGTGACCTTTTCTACCTGTGTAACGCTTGGCAAGAGCCAGAAAATAAAAGAGAGGGAATCTTGCAAACACAGCGACACTGCAGAGAGGCTGCCCTGTGGATGACCGCGGCTCCTTGCCTGTGATGGAGCGTGAATATTACAGCCAACCAACCCCACCCCGCACAGCCTTGGCTTTCTAAAAAAAAAAATTTGAACCCAAATCCAAGATTTTATATAACAACAGACGAGCTGTTTTGTCAGCAGCAGAGGTCTAAGATCCACAGGAATGAGAATACTGCAAGTGACAGAGCTAGAAATGAACGGGTGCACAGTCTTCATGTACCTGCAAGTAACACCACCTTTTGAAAAATATTTGCCGAAGGGAGCTTGAGGTGATAGTGTCCCCTTTGAGGTGCTCTTTAAGAGCCAAGGAGGTGACTGATAACCAGAGGCCCGGCTCTGGTTCATGCCAAAGCCTCTGTTACCCCAGTCACCCTCAAGCTAAACAGCCGTCAAAGCAGGTAAATATCTACCAGAGCTCAATGATTCCAAAACGTGATAGGGAAATCAGGGTGGAAGCCCCAGTACGCCAGTTGTGCAAAGTGAGGGAAAAATCCATCCCGACAAGCAAGCGATGCCCCAGCCGTCAGTCCCTGGGGCATTTATGTTACTCCCATTCCCTCCCCCTAAAAGGGTCAGCAGACAGAGGGTGCAAGCGTCCATATGTGCGTGCACATGGGTGCTGCAGTGGCTGCTACCCTTTCCATAAAGAGCAAAGCTAAACAGCCGTCAAAGCAGGTAAATATCTACCAGAGCTCAATGATTCCAAAACGTGATAGGGAAATCAGGGTGGAAGCCCCAGTACGCCAGTTGTGCAAAGTGAGGGAAAAATCCATCCCGACAAGCAAGCGATGCCCCAGCCGTCAGTCCCTGGGGCATTTATGTTACTCCCATTCCCTCCCCCTAAAAGGGTCAGCAGACAGAGGGTGCAAGCGTCCACATATGTGCGCACATGGGTGCTGCAGTGGCTGCTACCCTTTCCATAAAGAGACGCCGCCCAGGGTGCACAGGGCTCCCGGGGGAAGCAAGGCTGACTGGGATGCCTTCGGTCATCCTGGGGAACAACATGACCAACAGGCTAATTCTGACTTGTGCCAAAGTCTCCTTGTCTCTCGGGTGGTATAAAGGAGCCCAAATAATCCCTTCATTCCTTTAGCTGCCACCATGATACAGGACACCTACACAGACACCCCATCAGAAAAAGCCCAATGGCTCCCGGGGGAAGCAAGGCTGACTGGGATGCCTTCGGTCATCCTGGGGAACAACATGACCAACAGGCTAATTCTGACTTGTGCCAAAGTCTCCTTGTCTCTCGGGTGGTATAAAGGAGCCCAAATAATCCCTTCATTCCTTTAGCTGCCACCATGATACAGGACACCTACACAGACACCCCATCAGAAAAAGCCCAATTTTTTCTTTAATAACCGTTTCCCACATAGGTCCATCCTCAAAAAAAACCCCAACCCCAAGCTACATTTCTAGGCTGACTTACCTCACAGCTAGTACTTTTCACCCATACTGCCCAGCTCTATCTCTAGCTATGGAAAGAATTGATCCACAGAGCGTCGGGCCTAGCTGGTCTTTCAGAGTTGCCATTTTCTTTGCTTCTAGGCTGGGATTGGTGGCTGAGGGTGGGGGGAAATGCTCCCCTGTAACTCCCTCTCAAATCTTTAGTGCAAACAGGTATCAGATCGGTGGCATGTGTACAGGCTGTCCTGCCCCAGCACCACATCTACACAAGCGCCCTTCACACACAGCTTCTGGCCTTACCAGCTGTGGGACAGGAAGGGAAAGGTATTTCCCCATTAATCCAGGAAATAAATGGAATGAGATCATTGCATACAATTCCTGCAGTCAGGAAATGTGTTTTCTACCAAATCAGTGGTACAACCAGGGTTAACGCAACCTGTCTGTGTACAAAGGAAAGGATTTCTGGGCTGAGCTTAAGGTACCTGAAACAGACCCACACGGTGGCTCCTACCACTGATACTCGCTCGGATTTATTTCCATTGCTTGCTACCTGTGCGAGATGACCTGTTTGAAAGCAAGTTGAAAATACTCTGCTACATCTGAGCGAATGGCCACATAGGAATCCCTCCTGGCTATTTTGCAGAAAAAGAAAAATTTGGAAAGAGCTGAAGAAGGAAACTTAAAAGTAGTTGGTTTCAGTCAGTTATGTTACAGCAAGTCAATCAGATCCAGCATCCACATCTGTTTGAAATAACCCTCAGGTAGATAATAAGAGACAAGTATCACTGAAAGCGATTAGGAAAAAATAAGCTCCTGTTCTCTTTCATTTAGCGCATTGCTTTGTGCCTTGGACAATGGCTGATACACAATCGGGTATCCGCTCTTGAAAAGTTAGTCACTGCTCTTCCATTGTGCAGGCTACGATAAGGGAAAGGAAAACATTTACAAATAGGAGACTGCGTTATAAAATCTATAAAAACTGACAGTGCTGTGTACAGATACCATTGTAAAACTAGAGAATTAATTCCAGCCAGACAAAAGACTTGTGCTGATGCTCTCACCTACTACTTTGTGCTGACAAAATGCAGTTTGTATGTGGAAATATCTGCTTTTCCCCCAAACCTGTAATTATTCATTAAAAACCCTGAGCCTCAACTTTCACAACATAATCAGTTGAATATTTGCCGTGATTTTGCCATGTACATTTGCCTGACTTCTTTCACCAAGCCAGCAGCTGTACCATAACCACCAAGGCAAATACACGAGTTAGGGCCAGCCAGGTATTTCTGCTGGTCAGATTAAAGCAGCCAAACAGTTCTGCTCTCAGTTTTGCTTTTTTAACCATGGTTAAACTTTCTTTGGAAAAGAGACAAAAATCTGCCAAAGTAGCTCAGAGGCACTACTCTTCCAGAGGAAACGCGCGCATTTACAAGCTGTGTTCACAAGACTGCTGTTCTTACTGGGGAAAAGGAACCGGTTAACCAGACGCTCAGCACCACGCAGGCCCATACACTGCAACAAAGGTCAACTACTGGCACAGCAGGAAACATAAGGGCCATTTTTGGCAATTGCAACTCAAACCAGAAGCTCAGGAAAAAAAAAATGCCCATTTGTGAAGCTGCAGTCTGTTGAGTTTTCCATCATGACAAATTACGGTGTTCATTAACCCTTTGTTTGCCCTCTGCTATTCAAGACACAACTAGCATGGCTCAGCATGGCTCAGCCTGGCTGCGTGTCAGAGCCCCAGTGTAAGGTAGCTTCCGTTCTGGCCTTCATGCTGCCTCACTTCAAGGAACCTCTGCATTTCCATACTACTTAATATATTATATCACACCCACAGTCAACAATTAAAATGAATAAATAATTCAAGTTTTGTAAGAAATAAAATGTTAAATTGTTAAAAACCACAATTATTTACATTTTGATTATTCAATGGGCTTGTTTCCAACACCGGTACTACTTAATTACCAGAGAAACAAACAGGCCTCACCTTCCGTTAGCAGCTGCATGCCAGCACCATCCCACCCAGGTTTGGAGCTGTGCATGTTTCTGCCCCAGCAGCGTTTGAGTGCACCTCTCTGAATTCAAACACGTAAGCTGTACCAGGATTTTATTTTATTTTTCCTCCATTAGGAGTTACTCTGTTCCAAGACTTGTTCAGGGACAAATCAACCCCTTTCTCCACCTACCTATGTAACCTGAGCTGCTTCTGCGCTAAAACAGGACATCCACAATCCTGTGCCGGTCTTTGTCCCCAGGCAGCTTGGCAATTGCTTCCAAACCTGGCAGACCTTTGCCCGTGCTTCAGACGACACCCTGTGAGCACCACCGCTGGCAAACCTTCCCTGGAGTGGCGCCTCCAGGATCTCATGCCATCCCTCTGCGCCCCCAGCCCCTGCCCAATGCCTGCCTCTGTCTCCTGCCAAGATCATGAGGAGTTACGGGAGGGCGCCAGGAAGAGGCAAGGCCTCTCAGATGCATGATTTTTGTAACCATCTATCCCACTTTAATGGTCTGCTGGTCATAGTGTTCTACCACTACCTTGGTACCACTTGACCCAAGCTTTTAATAGCTTCAAAGATCTGTACTCGTTCTTGCTGTTTTCAGACTCTTCAGCTACGTACTCGGTTTACAGATTTAATATCCGCCCCGCAGCTGGTTCAAGCTGGCCTGAACACACCTGATGCAGAAACAGGCTGTTGGCTGAACCAGTCTTGACCTAGTGATCGTACACAATTTGTTTCCCATCTACAAGCATAAAAACCAACCCAGGTTTGAAATCTCTTCATACCTTTGTCAAGCTGACCCTTAGCCACCAAGATTTGGGTAACTATTGCTTGTTTCTTACTCCTTCCTCTGCTTCCCTATGATTAAAGGTGGCAAGCTGTTGAGATGGCAGGAATTTGGAGGAGCTTGATGCCATTTCCAGACCACTGGTTGTTGCTGGTTTTGTTGCCAGGTTAGGTCACTCCAAAGATCTCGACTTTAACAGTACTGAAGCGCATAAACTGAAATACTGTTGTATCACCTAAGACCGCCATTCATCAGGTATTCTTTCTTCCCCTTCCAAAGCCTGGATGGATAGAGACATAGGCAGATCTTCACAGGTACTTAATAGTTCCTTAAGATTTTTGGTGGGAACTAGGTACACAAATCCTCTTACACACACGGGTCTTGGTGTGTCAGGAGCAAGCCATCAGTGTCTCTGGCCCTTACGCCTCCCTTCCCAGCTCCATCTGCCTCAGATTGCTAAAAACGTCCAGAACTCTGGCTGAAAGAGATCTCCGAAGAGGAGCAGGCCGGGGGGTGGGGTGGGGGTGTCTACCTAAAAATTGAGGTTGATGAAAGCAGGACTAAGTGCAAGGAGACTGACTCATACTTATTTACATTTTTGACAGAAAGCTCTGCGAGTCATGCACATTTTGACTTCTCAAACCTTATATGCACCGTCTTCTGTGCCAGAGTAATCCTCCTTTTAGAAGAAAGTATTCCGTACTGTGCTGCAAGTCAGAGCAAGACATTTGTCTCCTCCGATCCCTTTCAGGGCTTGCTCTGCTGTCCTTCACGTGGCAGCAGTAAGAGCTGGTTGCTCTGTCACTGTATTCTCTGAAGCAGTCAATGCAATTGCCTCTCAGAACTGGTAGATATTGTTCCAAAGACTTGATTTGCTTCATTTTGGCATTTCCACAGTCATCCTTTACATATAATTCTTTTTTTTTAATTTAAAATTATTATTTTGCATTTCGCTGGTCACTTCCATATTGCTTCATTCAAAATCCAGAAAACAGTTCAAATAAAATCGGAGCTTAAGTGCAAACTAACTGTCCAGTGAACCGCTATGTGCGTTTTCTCCAGTCCAGTGTCTGTCTTCCAGTTTAAAGGACCCTTCCCACCGCCACCCCACAGAACACCAGCAGACTTCATGACCCATATCAAACTCTCCAGTTCTCCATCTTGTCCTCAGTGTTGCCTGACAGCATCCCCAACTCCCTTCACGATGACGAAGAAGGAAAAGAGGGAAGAATTTGTTTGGGTCTTTTTATGTATCTATAGTCAGCCGGTATAAAACAGGAAAGCAAAGCTTTTTGCATACAAATCTTGGTTTCTTGGCCTTTTAGCTTCAAAAAGAACATGTTGGAGGTGTGGTTTTGTTACTGTCTTCTGAAGGGGTTTTTGTGTTTAAAGTGTTTGTCATGTTGGCACATATACAAAAATGGCCATGTCATGTACCAGTTCTGAGCTGGAGTCTCTGTGGTTAGGAATTGGCACAAAATCATGGTGTGGCTCAGAAAAAGGGTTTAGCTGTATATTAGAGTCACATCATCATTTCTTGGAAAGTCATGATGAAGATCTGAATGATTATGAAAAGCCAGGTTAGCCATTTTCAGTTGCTGGGATAGAAAGTGTTTCTTTCTCTAAGAAATTGGGTTCTCAATCTCAATTACTAGGCTATCACATGATATAAAAATTGTCCATTTTTCCCCCTAATGGAAACTGCACTGAGATTTCCAGGAATGCTGTACAGACTCTCATCAGTTCCTGCTGAAAGAAACAGCCTCTCTGTGGCTTCCCTACAGTGTCTGGGTTGAATCACTGAGAACTAGCTCAACAGCAGGCAACACTGCCACTGGCCTTTACTGGTACTGTCTGGCTTCTCTGACTGTCCGACCCTTCGGATCTGTGGAAAGTGATAAACACCAGGTTGTACATGCCTTCTTTCAGTCTCTTTCCTTCCTTCCTTCCAGATTCCCAACCCAATCTGCAAATGACTCCAAGACATTCTTTCACTTGGAAATATCAAAAATGAGTGAACTGGCAAGAAGAGGAAGCTCATGGGAGAAAGAAAGGGAGGGAGAGAGGGGAGAGAGAGAAAAGGAGAACGAGAGACAAAGAGTGAGGCAGCTAGAAGGGGTTGCCTTTCCACTTCAGTAAGACCGCGGTCACTACACCACTGTATTCCGGTGTCTGTAGGGCGGCGGGGGCAGCACAGTGCCAGGCTTCAGGGAGAACTCGGAGAGGTATTCAGGATTCTCTGCCACAATGGGCCGGATCCGTCCATTCTGTTTGTAAAAGTATTTTGTGCTGTACTCTTGCAGGTAGTCCGGGTGCTGGAGGGTGCTTCGTGGGGGCAGGCTGTGATTCCAGTAGTCTGGGTTGTCAAAGGCCTTCTTGGCTTTCTCCGGCAAATTGTTCTTCAGGTACTCGGCATTTTCCAAGGTGTTTGCAAAAGTGTTGAGGTACAATGGCTCGTTCACGTACTCATCCTCTGCTTTGGGCTGCCCGTTCGGAGCGTTGTGATATTCTGGGTTGTCCACAGCTTGGAGATCTCCATTCTTTCGTCGGGAAACAAATGGGTTCTCTTCCACTGGGTTTAGGTAATCTAAGGAAAGATTGAAAATAAATCAGCAAAAAGAGGGAGTAATCCATCCATGTAGCAAGCATCATAGGCGCATTAGTACCAGGCTGTACCAGAAGCAGTACTCAACTTGTGCATCCTTCCACCCCAGCCATTCATTCCAGCAAAGCTGGAAACTAAACTGCAGCTCTCACTGAGCCAAACATGCCGAGCGACTTCTGCCTCTGCTGCTGACTCTCTCGGCAACCTTGGATGTATCAGTCAAACCCTCTGCTCCACAGTCTTTCCATCCAGAAAGCTCTATAGAAATCTTAGTTAAGCCTCTCTGCACAAAAACCATCCCCAAGGGCTAACTTCTAAGACAGCTTCATTCCTAACAAAACAATTTGCTTGATTAAAAACCTTCCATCCCTGAAGGACAAAGGGCCTTGAAGCATTATGAAAAAAATGATTCAAATGAGCCCTGGAAAGAGTACAAGAGAGTCTTACATCGGCTCCAAAACAGGACTTGGAGCAGGTTACAGTTGCTTCAAATCACTTTCTGTGGATTAACACCACAAAAAATTGTAGCTGAATTGCAGAAAGGTTTTAAGGCATATGGAGCTTGCATGGAAAGCTAAACGGGGGTGGGGAAGGAAGAGAAACATAAAGAGACTGGCTGGCTAGGTTAAAAATGCACGCTTAGCAAGCTCCCTCCCACGGTCACACACAGGTGACTGAGCCACAGAGCAATGCATTTGTTGGGTGTCATGTCCTGCCTTGCTCTGTGTATAATGAGGTCTTGCTGCAAAACACAAAGCCAGTTGGCCAGGGCAGGAAGGAGGTTGGTGACGCTGCAAGTGGGCTGCAAAGGAAATGGCTTGGAGGTGGGCCGGGGACAAAAGGAACTGCAGGTGGGACCCCTGCAGCAAGATAGTGAAAAGCATCCAGTTCATACAAGGCTGGAAATGATCAGATCAAACCCACTTCCAGTATTAATTCTGCCTTTCATCTCACAGCCCAGGGGTTCCCTACAAAACAGGGTCTCCAGCCACTGCCGTTAGTGAGGGACGGCCTCTCAGCCTGCCTGTGCCGCACAGGGATGCTAACACAAGACCTCCATCTCCAGTAGCGTGGCTCTGGTCATGGGCTTTGGAGACACTTCTACACAGAGTCCTGCCTGCAAGGAAACAGGCCCCACAGCCACAGAGTGGTCCTCACTTCAACTTTGGATTTATCCAGGAAGGGGCCAAAACTATCAAATGCAAAAGTTCAAGACTTAGTGAGTACCTTTGACCACATAGCTAAAACTTTCCTGAATCTGAGAGGTGAAACAGGCACATGCACCCGCACCAAGAGCATAGTGGAAGCATTTTTTTTTAAGCAATGACAACCAAGCAGTGCTTTGATTTGAGTCCCCCAGCTGACGGAGAGCGCGCAGCATCGTGGCCACACTGTGACATCCCTGCGTCTGTGCCCAGTGAGACAGGAAGGAGGTGCTTTCTCCTGAGCTGCTACTACCGCACCCCTGAGGGCTCAGGTAGCACCTGTGAAGCGTTAAGCTCCTACAGAACTCTGAGGCTCCCCAGGGTGAACCTGTATGTGAAGATACGTGTGGGCTCACACTGAAGCAAACTCACAGCATCAAATATCTTCTTGCAAGGGCTGCTGCTGAAGAGTAGGGCCACAAGTCCACTCCTACAATTGCTACTGCCGTGGGTCAAGCCCCAGGACTCCCTCCATTTCCACTATGCAACACAAAGGGTAAGTGGCTTCCAAATTCTGAAGCAAACCCAGTAGTCACTTGACATTTACATTTGCATTAATTAATTTCTTTAAAGCTAATGCAAAGGTTTGAAAGCTAATTACTAATGACACATCCCTTTACATCTAAATGACTGCTGTCACTATTTAGAAAGGAAGAAACGAATGACGGCAAACTGGGAAGTGTAGCACTCTGAGCTGGCACAGATCTAGGCAAACTTCACCTTGCAGCGATGGTCTCCCTGAAGCACATCTTGTTCTTTCAATCCTAAACTTCTCTTGGGTATAAAATGCCAACTGTGTGTATCGGTTCTGTGGTATGTTCAACATGACATTTACCAAGCACAATGCCATGAAGATAAAGAAGATCAATACACAAAGCAAAGTGGAGACTATGTCTGGCCAAGGATAGATCCTTTTCTTGGAAATAACTGAAGATTTGTATTTGGATAAGAAGGAGGTTTGGTTTTTTTCATTCCTCTCTTTGTTATTTCCCAGAAAGAAAAGTTAAAGGGGGAATTACCAAACTTGACATTTTGGCACATTTGAGCTTTTCTACGTAGCAAATTAAGCAAAGAAAAATGAATCCCCATGCAAAGAAATATTAACCAAGTCAGAATGTTTCAACCTTGCTGGGTTATTCAATAAAGCCATTTTTGGTGAAAAGCTGCTGATGTAGAAAAAGAGAGAATGCAGTTAGACTAGAGCAGGAGCTCCTCCGGAAAGACAATTTTTTACCTGTTTTAGGTTTGTCTCGCATCGGCGTCATGTACCCGTCCTCATCCAGCTCTCCCCGGATGACCCGCTCAGGTATGAAGACCGTGGGATCAGCGCTGTACCTCTGGGTGCTGCTGTCCTCTTTTGCCAGGGTTGCCACTTGTTTTCGTAGTGTGCCATTACAGCAAGTATCTTCAAAGATCTCTGCTGTGGCCCCTTGAGCAACTGGGGCTTCTGGTATTATGCAGCCAGGGGCTCTGTATGCCATCGGCACTTCTGCAGCACAGCCACCATCTCTATACACAAACTGGTTCTGTTGAAAAAGACAAGGCAGCATGAGAAAGGAGGCTCCGACGGGAGAGAAGATTCAACAGCAAGTCACCTCTGCGGCTCCTGTGTCTTTCCTGCCACACTTGCTCAATGAAGCATTTCACCAGGCAGGTGAAGCCTTGTCCATCCTGCAGACTACTGCGTTTCCAGTGCTGCGGGATTGGCAGCATCACAGGCTCTGTTGTGGACTGGCAAAGCATCTGTCTGCCCGGTGGTGCTGAGCTGGCTTGACCTCCCAGGGAGGTACCATCGGTGCAGCGAGGGGAGCAGGGAAGCAAGCTGGCTGCTCAGGGCTAGAAATGGGGCTAGAAATGGGGCAGAAAAACTTGTCTCCTACCTAGACATGCGGAGGTTGGATATACACAGCTGCCAGAGGCAAACACGGTATCTCTTCTTCTATTTACTTTGACAATCTCCCCTGACTTCTGAACAAAACCCTTAAACCTCATGTTAGGGAAATCTCCTTCTGCAAAGGAGACTGGGGATAGAGGACATTATCATCTCTGAACTCTGTTTATTCCTGGGGGGCCTACTTTTAGGGTGTCCTGCAGTGACGATCACACGGTCACCCAAACACTACGTAATTCCATCAAGTAGTGCACTTCGGGCTGGTGAACTGTGTTCATATTGCTACCTCAACTCAATGGTTCAACTCAACCTACCATTTTGCTTGTCAGCAAGGGTGTGCAAGGAAATTTTGACATCATGACCTATAAATAGGAAGGAAAAATGTACAGATTCATCCAAGCCTGTTACCTAAATGCTTTTTCAAGAAAAGTTGGCAGTTGGCAGAATTTTGGGTGTAGGTCCATCGAGCTTGCACATGAATTCAGGCTGAGTGTAGAGATCCTGACTATTTGCTTACATACACATTCATTCACTGTTGGCTTTTGGGCCATTTATGTAGGAAAAAGGGGTTTGAAACAGAAAATACGTAGTGAAGAAAGGAGGAAAACCTAAAGGATGAAGGTTGAATGTGAAATACTTACTCCTGACATAGGGGTGTAGGCAGGAGGAGGGCTGTGTCCAATTTCACTCTAATAGGAAAGAAAAATGGAATGATGGATACGTAATAAGAGGTCACATGAATGAAACAAGTCACATGAGCTGTATGAGCTAATGGGGAGAAACATGCACATCAGTTAGATTTCCTAACTGAATCCAAAATTTAAAGAATTCAATCATGGCAAATGTCTCACCAACATCAACAAGCTGTGTGCCTCACCAGTCTTAGGGAGGGCTACTGAGTTCCTCTTGCTGGGTAAGGGCAAATGCCCTGTTACACCCGCTGACAGCTGTACACCCTGCAAATGTCTCGTGTCTAATTTTTGGAAAGGCAGATTGTACAGAAAGAATGACAGACGGTGCACTCAACTTCAGACGAAATACAGGGCAGGAGAAGTGCAGAAAGCATCTAGCTCCGAGCCAAGGCTTCCTTTCCCAGGGACAAAGCAGAAGAGGGATAACCGGGAAGGCAGAAGGGTGCAGGACTGCCATTAGACTGTCACAGCTAGCTTAAGTATCACAGGAAAAACAGTCCCTAGGCTTTGGTAAACCCAAATAGCACAGCAGCTGCTGGATTTCAAGACTCCAACGTGCCATGGTCCTGCCCTCAACATATACCACCCTTCTAATGTTACCTCTGTATCACAGGCTAAGGGTTTTTACTGAGAAGTCTAGAGGCTTCATCATCAAAGTATCCATGCAGAGATCTTAATTTTGGTATTAGTTTCTGGAACCATCTTACACTGCCCTGTGGACCCTGAACTGCTGTAACATCACCAGCACAGCGGCTGCATTTATACTTATTACTGCTACTCAAAACTGGCCTGTTTTTCATTGAGGAAATGCTGATTTTTGGAGGAAAATAAAAATAAAACAAAGAACCCTTTATTTTTAATGTGTTTTTCTTCTGCCAAAATGTTATTTTTGAGAATATAAGTTCAGTTCTTCATACCTACTTTGTTTCCCATTTTGTTTCAAAAACTTTATTTTATTTCCCTTATCTCCTAAATTGGGGGAAAGAAAAAGTCAGGGTTTGAAAAAAGAAGGTCTAAACTTGAAATAAAGGGAAAACCCACCACCTCAGGAAAGAAGTCTAACCACCCTGAGAACACTCCACTTTAGAAGATAACTCATTCATTAAAATCTGTTTCAAAACCATATCCACACCAAGAAACATACCAAAATTAAAAGAAAAGACAACATGCATCCTCACATAGTAAGGACTGAATATACTACCATCAATCTTTCCCTTATAAACGTCTTGCCAAAACATCAGGATGGAGATGATGGTCGCTGTCAAGTATCTTACTTTATAAAGGGATGGTTTGTGTTTAAGCAAAATACCTGCATCAGGAAAAACCTTAAAAACAAACATAAACTTTTTAAAATGCATGCTGCCTGTCTGAAGACCCTTTTCTGGTGATCAAAAATATGCCCATTTCCTTCTATCCGAAATATCCCCGCAGCCATTTTGTTACTCAGACCTAGCACCTTGTGTTTGAGGTGTAAACGCGGTGATGAGCCATAGTTAGAGATACACTTTTCCCCATCCCCATGAAAATATTTAGCCAAGTTATGACCTAAAAAAGCCTCCAGGTTGCAAATTACAAAAGCGTAGGAAAACCTTTGTTAGCTGAATTGTCTATCCGCACCATCCATTAGCAAGGCTTGAGCAGGACTCCGTAGTTGTTTTTCCCCAGGGAAACTAGGTGCTGAAAGGAAACACAGAAGAGGATCTATCCCATGGTCTCAGTGACCCCCCTGCCAGTGGGGGGAGGAGAAGGAGGAAATGGCAGTCTGAGCAGACTGCAAAGGAGTTGAGAGGCTTGCAAGGAAAGTGTGGCTGGAGGAGCTGGCAGCAGGGATGGTCAGGAGCCAGGGAATGGTGGCTTGCAAAGGAACAGAGGACAATGGCAAGTGAGGGCAACTCTGAGGTGCAGGGAGGGAGAAAGGGTTGGCATGTGACAGGAGGCTGAGTAGGACGGGAGAGATGGTAATAAGACCTAAATGTGACAGGGGGAAAAAACGGGAAGCACAAGGACAAAAGACAGTCTGAAAGCACTGAAACGGCAGCTTCTCTAGAGGCTGGAGCTGAACTTGAATCTCCTCTGCTGTCAGCAAATCGCTCTCAAATTAAATGGCCAAATGCAGGCCTGGTTCAGCTGGTGCAGAGGGAGCCAAGCAGCCACCGGGCCACCCTTAGCACAAGTGCTGCCTTGTGCAGCCAGCAGGAGCTCTGAGGACTCTGTGCACAGGTAATAGGGCTGAGGGAGGAGGGGCTGAGACACCACTGAAGTCTAGGCCAACCGTGACTGATTTCACTAAGCGTTCGCCAAAGAGCTCATTATGTTTGAAAAGCAGAGCTTAAACTTAAGCCCAAGGCCTGGAAGCAGCTTTGGCCTCTCTGACCCAGCTGTGGCTGCTGACAGCCGGAGAAGTCAGGATGATGCCAACTGCAAAGAAAGTGCCGTCTAAGGCAGTACAGAAAGAGATGGCAGAGGGCTTGGCTGGATCAGCCCGGAAACTTCAGTGCTGCCCCATCTGTGTGTGGTCTCTCTCTTATTCAAGACAAGTGTACTTGTATCCAGAAGAACAACAGCCAAGAAAGGTTCACAAGCAGGGAAGGAAAAACCAAAGTCAGCAGTTGCCTGGCTGAGATGATCACACTTGAGAGAGAAGATCGTAACAGAAGAGGGAACAGAAGACACTTTACCAGAGATTTTTTTTTAAGGGGAGCAGACATCAAGGTCCTCAATACACATCTGGATACAGACTATACAGCAAACTTGTAACTTGGTAGTCTTCTGCAAGAGGCTTGTTTGGGACAACTAGGAAGGTCCCTTTAAACAGGGAACACTGTGGAAACCAGGGGTGCCCTGATTGCAGAGGTCAGATCCTCTCTGAACCCCCTCACCTTTCTTTTGTACCACAGATTTACTGTCACCTTGTCATGACACATGGACAGGCTACAATCTAGAATGTGTTAGACAAGTGGATAAAAAACATCCCCTGAGCCTGCCAGATGCAACTTTGAAATCTTACTGATGGCTACAGGATGTTGTACAGCAGGAGACTTAATCTGCCTTCTCCTTGCCCCCTGATCTTGTATTTACTTGAATTCAGGGAAGCTTTCTGTATACTCCAAAAAGACGGACAAGGAAAGACTGAAGACAGGTAAGTAGTAAACTATGGTCTATGAAGGGTGGTGAAGATTTAGGCAAACTGATCATTACAGGTAGGATCCAGAGAAGAAATACAAAGTGGTGCCTACAGAGAGTCAAGTCTCTTAACAGCAAGGAATCCAAAGCTCTGCTGGGAATCCTCTACCTCCTTGTAAAGCTCCCCAGCTTCCTTCCCTCCTCCCTGCAGGCTGCAAGACTCCAAAGAGGGGGTTTGCTTCTTTTGGTTTCCAAGGTGGCTGCAGCCCTGCAGACTGTACAAGAGTGAGAAGAGCTGTAGCAATACTGTGTTAGTATTATATGCAGGGGATTGGCGTTCGCTGCTGTCTGCTTTTCACAGACTAAACCAGTGACTGTAACCACTCCTTTTCTATTCAGTACTACACTGTGCTATATTACACACCTTTAATTTACATCTTTCTATTTTCACAGAGGCACTCCCATGAATTTCAACTTGTGGTTCATTGATTCTGGATGAATAAAGGGAGAGCTGTCTTGAACTACTTTTAGTTCACAGCCCACAGTGATCTCTTACGCGTTAACTCAGAAAAGCAAGTCTTTTGTCAACAGGCTTGGCTTTAGTACAGAGGGCTATGCTCCTCTGCCAGTAAATGTTTAGATGATTAGCAACTTAAAAAAAATATTGTTCTAGGACAGCCACATTATGTATCCGTGGGCGTGCTTTGCTCCACCCTCATCACAAAAGGCTAAACTCACCATCCTATCTTTAGATCATCTTGGCCGTGACTCTAACATTTAAATACATACTATGCAACTGTAACAACATAGTAACAGGCCC